GTTAGCGTTATAAATAGAGATATGAATCTACTTAATTTGACTAATGAAATGGCCTTTGATAGGGCCGCGTGGAGAAGAAGGATTCATGTAGCCGACCCCATTTGATGGGACTTAAGGTTTCGTTTGGTTTGGCCCAAGCCCTGAGCGCCCTTTATTTTTAAACAGGATAATTCTATTATACACACTCACATATCATATACATTTTTAATTATGTCATTTTCTTTTTTAATTGTAACAAATTTATTTCTTCAATTATAATTTTTTTTATATTTAATTATAATTTTTTTTAATTATGATTAAAAACCGCATGGACTTATGCTATTTTTTCAATATTTATAAAGAGCGTATGTTACGTGTCCCTTTTAAACACGAAAAATGATATAAGTCTCAAATTTTCTACTAAATGAATAATAAAATATCTCACATGGGTGTCGGGTCCACATTTTTGTGAATCCCACACCCATATAAAATATTTAGTAATTCATTTAGTAGAAATTTTATATTCCTAACATAATCCTTTAAACAAATCGAGTATTAAAAATATGTATGTTGTTTGAGAGTTCTAATGCAGCTCTAATAATGTAAAGAGTGCCCATGTGAAGGTAGGACTCACACTCCTCTATCTATCTATCTATCTATCTATCTATCTACTCTCTCTCTCTCTCTCTCTCTCTTCCACCTCACTAGAACTCCATGTATTATCTATCTATCTATACTATTATTAAAAGCCAACAGGAACTTTGGTGTCCTTAAGCTTGGCTTAGAAATTTTTTTCTATTTATCCTAAAATGACCATAACTTCTTAAATAATTATATTATTTTTACACTAATATTAGTTTGTAGTTAAGGGTAACATAATAAATTCAAACTAATCAATTCCACTACCCCACGTTTCCGAATTGCATAACAATTCTAAATTAGTTTTAACATCTTCGAATTTTATTTTGAATGATTAAAACCTTAGGGGGACAAAAACATTATTAGGAATAACTTCTTCTCGATCTCTTCTTCTAGCCAGCTAGAGCACAACAACGAGACTCCTCTGAGGGGACGACGACACATAGAGGAGTGAGAACCTAGAGAGAGAAAATACTTACATACAGATATGTATATATATATATATATATATATATTTGTATTTATGTATATGTAGAGAGAGAGAGAGAGAGAGAGAGAGAGAGATCATTGGTTTATTGAGTGCTTCCGAATAAGTATCGTTGACAAAAACCCACCATCATCGACAAGTCTCTCAAAACTTTGGTAGGTGATGATATTGGGAAAGCTTATTGAAAATGGTTAGACTTGCACACCAAGGGTAAGTTATGGCATTAGTATATTGACTTTTGGAGGGTTGTTTGATTGGATTTTGTATAAATTAATTCTTTAATAGTTTTTATTTTTTTTGTTACGTTCATTGCAAAAATAAAATAAAAAAATGAAAAGAATTGTACAGACTTTTATATATATTATCTTTGTGAGTATATTTTTATTTTATTTGAGATAATGTAGAAGTGTATGAGAATGTGTGTATATATATCATATGAAATTAAAAAAAAAAAAATTATGCAATTGAATATATAAATTATAAAAAAAAATGAATGAGGATGTATTAAAATTTTTATCAATTGAAAGGTAATGTTCCTTACTTCAATTTTTATTCACTCAATTACATAATTTTTTTTTTTTAAATTCATACACACCACGTGTGTCTTAACCGCTAGTCACTATAAAAATATAGGGTATGTTTGGTTTGGTTTTGAGAAAGTAGTTTTTAAAAATTGTTTTGGGGAGAAAGTTTAGAAATTTTTTTAATTTGTTTGATTAGATATTTTGAAAATAGTTTTGGAGTTTGAAATGATTTGATATTTTGTTATAATTAAATAGATGTGTGTGAGTGAAAAAGTGATTGAAAATGAGAGAGAAGAGAGAAAAAAATGATTGATTAATATATAAGAAAGCGAAAGTAATTTTGAAAATAATTTTAAAAAAATTACAAATCAAACAAGATTTTTTAAAAAAAATTTCTCCAAATTACTCTACAAAGTCCAACCAAACCTATTTTAATCATTGATTTATAAAAAAAATTAACATTACCCTCTAAACAAATCGAGTACTTGAGACGGAGGGAAAGCGGGGCCTGTATTGTACAGTGTCTGTCTTGGCCCTGGGGCACCGGTATCAGGTCCGCATCACATCAGTCTCTGCAACTCCATCGCGACGTTGGTTAACTTGCCGCCACCGTCAATGTCCTCGTTGCCGTCATCATCGACGATATACAACAGCGTATCGATCTCAATCTCCGACGAAGACAATCCCGTCCGAAATGCCAGACTCCAAGCCCTCAGGAGGCGCAAGGAACTGAGGAATCGACGCAAAAAGAGACACATCTTCTGGCGAGCCGTTACGAATTTTCTCCGGAAATGGTGGGAGATTCTGCTATTTCTTCTCGCCCTCGCATACCTCTTGTTCGAGGCCTCCGGAATCTTTTTCAAACCCCAACTTCCGCCATCGGATTTGGACCTGAACTCATCGAATCGGCTTGATCTACCTGCTCATGGCGGCAAAGGCGTCAAACAACGTAAGTCCATTTATGGTTTATCATGTTGTTTAAGATTCAGGGAAATGAGTAATATAATGTTGTTCGCTGTTTCTTGGATCATGAAGCCCTAACTGAGCATGTGTTTTAACTGTGGATTAGCTTAATTATTGCATGCATGTATGTATTGGGTTTTCATTTTTCATTTTTGTTAATAATAGTGATATGCTCTCGCTGTGATTTTAATTTTGAAAATTTAAAAATAAAATCTCTTTGCACAGTTGGAAGTTGGGTGTTTTCATTAATTGTCTGCAGAAAATATTTTTGGATAAAATTTTCTGATAAATAATCCACTTTTTAGAAAATACCAAAAAATACTTTTGAATTTTTAAAAACCGTTTTTGCACAAAAATAAAAGCCATATGAAAACATGGAATGCAAAATTGAAAACGAGAATACAACCAAATAAGCCCATAATAATAGTTTTATTTTTGGGTTTTTTCTATTTTTTCTTCTATTTCTCAGCTTTTGATGGTATTTTAATGCTCAGCCTTTCATAGGCGGTTACTATTTTTGCTAGTGAAGTTGTTTGGTCTTCCTTCAAAGGGCTCTACATCACAAGAGGCATTTTGTCCATTTTCATTTTGGCTCTCCACAAGTAGCTTGCATCCAATGCTAGGCAAAAGGTCTTCCTGCCATTTTGCCCATATTTGCTTGCTATCTCCCGTCTTTGCTTGCTGCATTTATGCTTGCTTCATATTTGTTGTTTCTTCTTTGCTCCAGCCCATTTGATCATTTGAAAATATTACTGTTAAAAGAATATGATCATTTAAAAATATAATCAAGTAAAAATATTATTTAAAAAAAATAATTTAATAATATATTTAAAAAAATAAATATTTGTAAATGCCTCGTCAGCAACCACGTCAACACTAGGTGCATATGCAACATGTCATAAAAAAGATTGTATTTTTTTATTTATGTTTATAGTATTTTTTTAAAAAAAAAAATTAGTTAAGTTAGTTTGATTGGTTATCTAAAATAAAGAGTATGATTGGAATGCACACTATCTAAACTAGTTAGGCAAAATAGAGATAGTACTTTTTTGTGTTCTTTTACAAGGCATTTTGCCTAGCAGCCTTGTGTGCTCATTACACCTCAAGCTATACCATCATGTGTAAAAAAGTGTGTACCATATGCAAGTTGTGCCATTTGTGAGTTTACAAATGGCATAACTCAACATTATAGTCATAACTTTAAAAAAAAAGAAGAAGAAAGAGTTATAACCAAACACTACAAAAGGTATAACAAAGAACTCTTGGATTATAACAAAAATAATGTCATAATCAATATCACAATGAATTATAGCTAACAGCAAAATAGGTCATAACCAAAGACACAAAAGTCGTAACTAAGGGTTCATAGCGCACACCCCAAAGGGAGTGTGTGTATCATAGAATTTCCCATACCACACCATTTGTTTTTATGACTGAAGTGCCTTTTTTTTATTTATTTATTTATTTATAGTATTTTGGTTTTTCGACTAAAATATGAGGGGAATTTTTTTTTTGGGAAGTGTTTTGGAATGACTTTTTAACTTTTTACACAAAACATGCAAAAAGTAGAAAGAATGAGAATGAATCTTTGATTTTTTTTTATTCATCCTTTTAGCCTTTTTAATGACTTTTTAGCTTTTTACGTATAGTAGCCTATTGCCAAACACAAGCTAGAGACTCTTCTGAACTGTACTTGGATGTTTCTCACTGAACTGAACAAATAAAGTCAATTGTGCAATAAATAAATAAATAAAGTCAATAAGGGATCTCCATCACCTATACACCACCACTTTGGAACTACTTCTTCATAATTATAGATTTCTTCAAAATTTCAAATTAATAATTACATAATGACACAAAAGAAGTGTCGGACATGGGACCAAGGAGTGTCGGTCTCTAATGTGTCTGACATAGATACCTCATCTTGTTAGAAGTGCCCTTGCTTATTAGAGACCTATGAAGCATGGATACTTCGAAAAGCATGCCGTACCTGTACTGGGTACTTACCCGCGTATGATATCTCGTATGGTACTTCTCCATACATACCGGGTACACGAAACACGTACCTATTTTTTTTTTAAAAAAAATTTGACATATCCAGACGTACCTAATATATACCCAAGCCGTATTGTACCTCAGTTGAAACAATATTTTCTTCTACTACAAGAATAAAACTCCTTTCACTAGACTTCTTTTTTATTTTTAGTTTTATAATTAGTATGATTTTAAAATTAAACTATGGTTTGTAAGTTATTTAATATATTGATATTTAATTTTGATTTATATCTTTACTTTTGGCATTAAATGTTAATTATAAGTTAGATCTTAACAAATTAAACCATTTAATTAATTTTTTGCATTACTCTAAATTAAAAATAAATATTTCTTTACAAGCATACCAAGCTATATCCGTACCATATTTTTTTTTAATTTTACCGTATCGACGTACCCGTATCATACCAGTACCAGTACTTTACTCGTTCCCATGCTTCATAGTTAGAGACCTATTTACATAATCCACTCATGATCAGTTTCTTATATTTTGTTTGAATAAATATTTGGTTTGTATGCTATGATTACAGCTATGCAACTTCTTTGGGCTGTTTTTTGGAGCACAAAACTAAATGGTTGTAGAACCATTACTTGAAAGTCATCTATTGTATTAAATGTATATCCTAAGGTTCCATCGTTAGCTGATAACTACCTAATTTAAACATTTGTAGCATTTTACTTAAATTTGTCTTGGATCTTAAGCATGTATCGTTCTCGACATGCAGTTTGTTTTTGACATCCAATGATGTGTTATATTGCTTTAGTTTTTATATTTTATTATTATTGGTTTGGCTTGTGTTGTCAATGTTTAAAACAGTACCATGCGTGTGAAATTTAAATAATTCTATCAGGTTGCTTGAAGTTATTGCCTCCTGAGGAACTTGAAGGTCTGGATATTCCTCCTGTTGGAGACCCCATTTTGCCTGTTAAAAGAATTGTATATTTGTTGGATACTGATAGGTCTCATGATGATGCAAGCAGCACCACCCTGCAACGGCCTCATACGGAAGTTACGAGGTTTAACTTGTTCACTGGATACCAAACAGTTAAGGAGAGAGATGAAAGTTATAAGGTTAATATTTTATTTTGATATCTTGAAGCTGAATAATTAAGATGCAGTTGTAAACTCATAACTGTCACGAGTTTGACTTCTCTAAAATCTACCCTGCACTTCTGCAGGCTTTTCTTTTGGACCTATTGCATAAGGAGAAATCCATTCTGAATTTTAGTAATTCACTAGTTGTTGACCTTTTCCCACTTCACGTAGTTTTTTTTTTTTTTTTTTTTTTCATTTTATTGTATTGGTTATCGTTCACAATGAATGTTTCAGGTAAATGAAACTGCTGTAGTGCATTGTGGTTTCTACAGTGAAAATGGAGGATTTAAGGTCTCAGATGTGGACAGAAGTTTCATGCAAACATGTGAAGTTGTGGTGTCCACTTGTACATTTGGTGGGGGAGATGATCTATATCAACCTATTGGAATGTCAGAGGCATCACTGAAAAAGGTCTGTTAAATAAGAAATTCCAAATATATTGGATTTTGTTGTGCTTAGTTCATTTTATAGTATTATTTGTATTGCAGGTTTGCTATGTGGCATTTTGGGATGAAATCACTCTTCAAACTCAGGAGTTGGAGGAACACAGAATCGATGAGAACCATATGATTGGTCGATGGAGAGTAGTGGTTGTCAGGGAGCTACCTTTTGTGGACCAACGTTTGAATGGTAAAATTCCAAAGGTAATGTAAGCTGCCAATTTTTAAATTACTATATATATGCCTGTGGGATTTATATCTAAGCATAATTTCTTCACATTTTCTGTGACTTGAAGAATATTGAAATTGTGGTGATATTCGTGTTGTGTGCTATAATAAGCTCCTCATATACTATATTCTCTGGTTCTAGTGATTGGAGTGACTAAATTTCCATCAAATTGTCAGGAAAACAGACTTAGCTCACTGTGTTTCATCTATTGCGAAAATATTAGCTCTCTTTCTCTTGCTTCCTCCTCTAGGAACTCCCTTGCCAAATCTAGCAAACATACATTACTTTCTCACTAACAAGGAATACTCCCATAACAACTAAATTGATAAGTAACTATTACTCAAGGGGTTAAAATGGTAAATTATGAATCACAATGAGGTCTGCACGGCCTTTTGATGATATTTGCTCTATTGTCTATGGTTTGATAAGATGCCTGTTTTCCTTATCTAGATTGTCCAAAATCAACGGAAATACCTTTAATATCATGTGGTTTGACAGAGGTTTCATGCTTCTCAAAACTACGTTTTTAAGAGCTGCAATTTTTTATATACATATACTAAAATACTAAATAGAACTTTATCGTTGAGAAGAACATTAAATGGATCACATATTGGTCCACAAAAAATGTAATGAATGCCTGGTATTAAATCCAGTAATGGTGGGGTCCTCATTCAAAATAAATATCAGCCTGTGAATACACTTGTTGTGTTCTTAGCATTAATGATCCTAAAAATTGCAAAGAGAAAGGAGTTTTAAGAGAGTACTGTCTCAATTTTGGTTGGCTTTTTTACTCAATAGTTGCACAATTTCATTTTCTACTTCATTATTGTTAATTAATTTTTACATGCTTTGTGTCAATTGATCAGTTACCTGTATAAGAGTGAGTTGAATGCTTTAGTGTTGGAAAAGTTCCAAGCGGTGGTGGATCCAAAAAAATTACTGTTTGGCCTAAGATTTTGAATTTATTTATTTTCCATTTGCCCCTCTAAATTATATATGCCCCCTAAATTTGTTTTGTAGCCCATGTTCTTTATATTTTTCAACAAAAGCCCCACAGTTTACCCATTCAATTTTTATTTTACTGTAACATTTCTTGAGTTTATGTGATTTAATGTATCTTCTCTGCTTCGGTTAAGTTTTTTTTTTTGGCATTTAAGTGGAATGATTTTGCCCCCCTGTATGTGTTTGCGTGTGTGTAAGTTTATGTATGTGTGTAACTATGAATGCGTAGACACACTCATGCACATGTGCATATCCAACTCATCTCATTGCATTGCAATTGTGTTTTAAGAGTTCTCCTGAAAGTGAACATCCAAAAGTCTCCCAGGAGAATTCTGGTTTATAGAAATGTCTCAAGCTGTGTGGGTGGCATTGTTAGATGGTGATGTTAGACATGATTAGAACTTCAAGGTTTTCAGTTGGATTTAAATTTTTTATTTAATTATTTAATTATTTTTGTGGCTGAACAGAGTACTATTTGAACTACAAAACATGGAAAGATAAAAGAAAAAAGACAAAAGAAAGAAACAAAAAAAATTGAGCTCCTCACTTCAAGTCTGAATAGACCCGGAGAAATTGTTGATGAGGATTATGTCTCCCCCTTTCACTTTCTTTTTTGAACCCATAACAAGAACTTTTGAAGACTATATATATATAAATTATTAACAACATAGCTCCAGCTGTTTGTTGGAAAGACCAATTTCTTTTATCAAGACTTGACTGAGCATGAGTTTATATTGGCTCCATTCCTAGATAAACAAGGAAAATGCACTCTCCAAATGCTTGACCTTTTGGGTGAGGTACATAAATACTCTTGGTAGAGGATAAGTATCAGATTGTTGTGGCGGAACAGCTATTTGCACTACCTGGTTTGTATGGCTAGATTAAACATTGAATGTTATTTCAGTTAAATGGAGTTGAAGTTATGAGGAGGTGGTAAAGTTTTAGTGAATATATCCTTGTCCAATAACTCAGATGGAAAAACAATCCTTGTCAAATTTTATATACAGTCACAGCGAGCGTTTGCTTGATTTGCTTTCTTATTTGTGCTTTTCTTAGATGCTAGGGCATAGACTATTTCCTCGAGCGAGATATTCAATTTGGGTGGACTCAAAGTCACAATTTCGGAGAGATCCTCTGGGTGTTCTGGAAGCATTTCTTTGGCGCACAAACTCCTCACTTGCAATATCAGAGCACGGAGCTCGAAGTAGTGTCTATGATGAGGCAAAGGCTGTTGTCAAGAAAAACAAAGCCACCCCTGAAGAGGTTGAAGTGCAGTTGACACATTATCGCCAGGATGGATTTCCTGAGGACAAAAGGTTTAATGGAAAGAAAGGTATGGTTTTATACTGACTCTTGTTCTTTGATGGTAGTATGCGATGAGAAAACAAGAAGGAATATTGATGCATTATGAATGTAATTTGTTGTCAGTACTTGATGCAATATTGATGCATTACACTGGTTGTAATGATCAACATTCAGCCCATTGCAGGACATTTCTGTGTGTTAGATTAGTATGCCAATGCTTTCATCTTCTGGGAACTGGAAACTATGTGGCTAATCAAATTGCCCCTTTGTTATCTATGAGAAGCAACATATGAATGACCTATGAAGCACGGGCACCTCTCCATAGGTCATGTATAGGTGTCTGACATGTGTCGGACACGAACACATATGCCGGACACGTTTCAGACACAATGGAAAGAGTTGGATACGTTGGGACACTTTAGACACACTTTGGAAATGCCAATGACACTTTGAGGACTATTTTTTTCAAAAAGAAAAAAATTTTAATTTTAATTTTTTTTTTACTAACTCGTTTGGCAAGAGGCTATTTTAGCCAATTAGCCAAAAAGTTACTAAATTAGCCAAAAAGCCAACAACCCATACCAAAAAGTCAAAGATTCTCTTTTCTCTCTACTTTTTGCACATCTTTTCGTAATTAGCCAAAAAGTCATCCCAAACATACAAGTTTTTTTTACCTACCTTTTTAGCCAAATCACAGACACCTCTCCATAGGTCATGTATAGGTGTCTGACATGTGTCGGACACGAACACATATGCCGGACACGATTCAGACACAATGGAAAGAGTTGGATACGTTGGGACACTTCAGACACACTTTGGACATGCCAATGACACTTTGAGGACTACTTTTTTCAACAAAAAAAAAAAATTAAAATTTTAATTTTTTTTTTACTAAAATAGCATATCTAAATTTGATAAAATTAAAATATTTGACATAAAATATATATTAAATATTTAAAAATATAACATAATAAATATATATATATATATAATTATATGTTTTGAACATGTCCCCAACGTGTCATATCCTACATTTTTTGAAAATTTGCGTGTATGTGTCTTGTTACGTGTCCATATCCGTGCTTCTTAGTGAATGACACAGTGAATAAATAAAAGAGACAAAATTGAGTGGGACAAGTTATCTAACTAATGCACCCTTGTTTATGAAATCTTGATCATGAGTTTTTTTTGTCTGCTAATCTTGATCAAGAGTTGAATGTACTGGAGTTTAATTTTTGCAGCTTTAGCTGAGGCTTCTGTCATTGTGAGGGAACACACGGCATTGACAAATCTTTTGATGTGCCTCTGGTTCAATGAGGTAGTTCGATTCACTTCACGTGACCAGCTCAGTTTCCCCTATGTGCTGTGGAGGCTGAGAGTGCTTAGGAATATCAACATGTTCCCTGTCTGTACTCGTAAGGCTCTTGTGAACAGTATGGGCCATAAGCGCAAGGCTAAACCTCTAATCAGTTGATATTCTTTAGTGATCAGGTAATTTCAACTCTCATATATTAATATTTATTGTCTCCATTCTTTTGATCAGCGTGTGGGAAATGTGATCTTGAGTTCAGGAAAATTGATGAGCTCTGCCAGGTTTATTGTTTGTCTTGTCTTTTCATTTGTGCATATCTTATAGTTTATTTCCTGCATCCTGTAATAACAAAGAAGAAGAAGAAAGAAAAAAATCTTTTGTTTTGGCAATTATGACTACATTGCATCCAGGTCCAGTGATAGCAGGTATCCAAAGCAATTTATCTGTTAAACCCTTTCCTCTATCCGTTGCTTTTGCTCACATGATTGTTTACTTGGTAGAAGCAGGTATGCAAATCAATGCAATTTGTGCAAATAATGCCAAAAGTGGGTTGGTATCTAATAGGGACTAAACTGGGTTTTTTATTTTATTTTATTTTGTTTGATAACAAATCAATCCATTTCTGCATGACCATTTTATTTACTCATCTTCTCCATTTAAAGAATTATATGCAACTGCATGATAGAGTGAGGTGCAAGTTTAACCAGGAAAGAAATTGCTTTGAACACCCAGCATATGAAAATAGTGGATCAAACTCCGCAGTTTCCTGCTTGGACCTGAAGTCTTGTTGGTGTCAATAAGCATCTCTTTTTTGCCATAACTAAAATCTTTCCTCTCAGACTTAGCTGGGAACGTCAGCCAGTTGGGTATCCATGCAATATCTCAGTCAAAGCTTGTACTCCCTATGCCCCATTTTGATAGTCCCTTTTGAAAAATTTCAACTATAAGGGGACAAGTAATTGTTACACTTGAATTCAAATTTTAAAGCATTAATTCTAAAAATACCCTTCTCTTCTTGTTTTAAAATTTATTTATAATTATTTATAAGCAACAATTTTGGAAACTTCTAAATTTAAAATTTTGACTTTTCAAAAGCGAACATACATTTTGGGATAACAAAAAAAATGAGGTAATGGACTAATAAAATGGGACTGAGGGAGTAGTATTTTACCCAGTCGATGTTTTCCATCAAACAACTTATGGAACTGATGTATACGCGACTGATATTTTTCATGGAACTGATGCAAGAAAGCTGCACTTGAGGAGTTGGCGATGCAATTGAACTAATTGATGATGTTTGTTGCACTGACAGTATTTTGTAGTTCTGAATACTGCAATAATAAGTGGCAAAGATACGGACACATGACAAGACACTAACAAGACGGAGAAATGCTGACATGTTGATTTTCAAAAAATACATAACACATCACGCTTGGAAAATATTTAAATTTTAATTTTTTTACTAATTTATTATATGTGATGTTTATGAATAATTAATTTAATGATAATGAAAACTATGCATCATAACACTAATTACATTAAAAAGTAATATATTTTATAAATTAAAAATCAAGATAGCATTCATGTAATAATTACATTAAAATAATGCAAAAATAATTATAAAACATTATGATACACATGATATATTTGTCTTATAAATGTTTCAAATATATTTAGAGTACATAAGTTGTGTTATGAAGAATGCAACATTATTATTATAAAGGGATTCATCACAAAAGACATGTTCCGAGAATTGAAAAAATGTTACCAAAGTGTCTGCGAAGTATCGGAAAGTGTCTGATATTATGAATTTGATTTTTTAATAAAGTCACTTTTAGTGTCAAAAACATTTTTAGAAGTGTTTGAAGAGCGTTCGTATTTGTGATACTTAATTCTGTGCAAGTCCTTAATATCTTATACTTTGGGCAATGTGACAAACAATGTATATTTTGTATTGATCAGAGATAGGGGACATGAAGAGAAATGGCTTCCTCATCTTGCATCGACAGTGAAATGACAAAAACTAGCCCTGCACGGAGAGCCAGCAAACTCAGTCTTCCATGTGGTTCTTACTAGCACTTGACGATTTACGTGTAAGCTTTACAAAACATTAGTATCGAATGCCTATACCAAAAATCACCAGAACTTTTCGATCACAATCCGTTTGGAGGAACTTATAGCCTTGTGCCTACTGATTGTGGATTTGGGAAGGTTTGGGACTGATTCTTTTAGAAACAAATTATTTTAGTTTTTTTTTAGTTTTTTATAAAAAGACGTACAAAAAAGTGAAAAGGATGGTATAACATTTTATAATAATTTTTTGATTTTTTAATTAAAATATGTCGTTCCCAATCGAACAAGGCTATAACTTCTTCCAAATGGATTGTGATCAACAAGTTCTGGTGACGTCCATCACTAATAATCGATCACTGTTGGAGTGGGGTTCATAGCTCGATATTTCAGTCAAATTCAAAACAAGAGTCAGACTCTACATTTCTCTTGATCTCCCTCGTGTAGGTGAGTTTTATTAATCTGTTACAAAGCATTGATTTGAAATTTGTCATGCCATAAACTTATTTATTTATTTTATCTCTTTGAAGATGTAATTTTACTCTATTGTTTTTTATCATTGGCCTACATGCACGTGCCTTCGGAAAGTTCGCTCCTGTGTCTTCTTCTGGACAATCTCTCTCTCTCTCTCTCTCTCTCTCTATATATATATATATATATGTGTGAACAAGGTAGGTAGGTTTATCTGCTCGCAAGTAGTGATGAGTGAGAAATGCATGGGTGCAACAGTGTTCTAGGCAAACAAAGATTCGATATGGCAAAGTGATTAAAGAAAGAAAAGTCCTCTTAAAACTTTAGGGACTGCGAATGAGGTTTTAAAAACCTTATATAATTGTTGGCAATAGAATAGATAAATGACTCTGCCATGAATTTAGTGGTTGTTTGGAATGTTCTAAATAAGTGTATTTTTTGACTTTTTATGAAATATGGATTGGGTTTGACGTGATGTGGTAGAAATGTGATGTGATTTAAATAAGATAATGTGACTTAAATGAAATAATGCCTTGCATTCCAGTGAGCTATGGTATAGAATTCAATTATGATGGTTCTTTTTTGATCTTTACGAAGAAAAATGAACAACCAAAGTAACGGATAAAAGTATTAGTCTGTAATGTGAACCATATATTGATATTTTTGAATAGTTTTAAAAATATTAACTAGTGTACTAATTAATTGTGGGTTTTAACATTCTGTTCATTTGGGTAAAAAATATTTTTTAATAGAAAATATTTTTCTATGATTGGTGTTGGTGTAGGTGGAACGAAGGTAGAGGTAGTGACATGGTATAGTGGCGATGGCGGTGATGACAGTGGCAGCGGTGTTGGTGGTGTGGTGGTGCGGGTGAGAGTCGTGGTGATAGTAGTAGTGTGATGATATTGATAAAATTGTTGTTTGGGATGACCTAAATAAATGTACTTTTTGTCTTTTTACGAAAAGATGTGCAGAAAAGTAGAGAGGTGATGTGATGGAAAAAAGATAAAAAGATGAATTATTTTGGTGTTGCCAAACTTGGCCTTAATTCCAAAAACATCTTTTGCTTTTTACATGTGTAAAATATTTTTTGCCTATATAAGCTTGTTTTTTTGTTAACTATGAAAAATATTTTTTGTTGATTTTTGTTTTTTATTATACCAAATATCAAAAAATAAGAAACATATTTTTTTTAAAATATTTTTTGCTCAAACAAATAGAGCCTAACACTCGGAAAAAATTTCGGTGTGCAATGTAAGACATGCAATTTTATCACAAAATTATATAAGTTTTTACGAAATTGCATAAGTAATTTCATAAAAATGAATAACTTGAATATAAATTCATGTAAATTCTTAAGTTTTTACAAATTTACGTGAATTTCTGTTCAACTTATGTATTTTTATGAGATCATTTATATAAATTTGTGAAAACTTACGTAATTTTGTGATAAGATTATATATGATGTACATTATATACCGAGACATTTTCCCACACACGTAACATGGATCTCACCTAATATTATATCTAATTGGTATATTAGTTAATGTACTAGTTACTATTCCTAATATTATTTTAATTTTTTAGGTAAAATTTTTAGGTTATGATTTTGAAAAAATTACAAATCAAGCTAAATTTTAAAAAATAATTACAAATACATGGAAAAATTTATAATTTTAATAATTAAAATTTATAAACTTCATCATTAATTTGATATATGTATATATATATTATATTAAGAATAATGCTATATATACTAATTAGTGTACTAATTGAGGATGTGATATAATTTAAGAAATTTTTAGTATTTATAATATGATTAATGAGTGGGGTCAATAATAATATCATAATTAGTGTTGGTATATTAATCAGTACATTAATTGATGTATATAGGACTACCGGTATTTTAATCTTTCAACTGATATCCTATAATTTTTGGGGTAAAATTTTGAGGCGTGGACTGTCAGTGCTTCTATGGCAAGAAGAAACTAATGCCGAATCCAAGCAATGTCAAAGAGTAGTGTCCTCTGACAGAAATATTGTATGCTGCAATTTACATATTAGCAAGTTATTGTTTGACCTTTTAATGATTTTTGTAAAGTAGAAATATGGCTTTGGCATTTGTGATTGAATATGATATCACAGGAGAGAGAGAGCCAAGCATGACCCATTTAGTTATGGGTAAATTACTAATAAGGCTTAATAGTTAGATTTAATTCTCATCAAATTTTATTGAAAATAAGTTTTGGTAAAATTATCGTTAAAAATAATTTTTTTGTGATAATTTTTTATATATGTCGCTAAAAATTGATAATTATTGATTTTTTTGGTCATAATTTTTATAAATTATCGTTAAAATTTATAATTAATAATTTTTTTTATGACATTTTTTTTACAGGACGTATCAAACAATAAGTCCACTTATTAAGATTTACACATAAATATCTTTCTAATTATTTATTTATTTATTTTTGATGACCTAAGAAACTCTAAGGTCAGATCATTTACGATCCGATTTTATAAGTCAACTCAGAAGAGAATGTGCCTGTTTGGTGCAGCTTAAAAGCTGCTTATTTCAGCTTTCAGCTTAATTTAAGCTATTTTGATGTGTTTGGTTTAGCTTATAGCTTGTAACTTATAGCTTTTTAGAAGTCAGAAATCAGCTTATTCTTCGAGTGTGGCAGGAGATGCTTAATTTATAAGTCAGAAATCAGCTTATGTTCATAGTGATAAGCTATAAGCTGTTTGGGCATAAGCTATAAGAACTTTCCCACAGCTCTACCAAACAGGGCCAATATCAAGAAACCTACCTCTCACATCTTAATTTCAGTCAAGTGTCAGAAGCTTGACCTTTTTTAGATCCGGCTTATATGTACTAATCTAATAATCTGCAGCACTAATTCTAATGGGCATTGAAGTTAGTTTCCTACTATTTAATTAAACAAAAATACATATATTCTATTATTAACGCAACTCGAAGTTATTAATAATATAATGGGGTCTGCAAGCATGTCTGTCAGTCTCCTTTGAAAATCGGATACTTGACTTGTCAAATTTTTTTTTTCTTCTCTCTGAAGAAAACATTGTTTTGTTTGATTCTTGTTTAATCTAAATCTTTTAATACATTGAAATCGGCACGCAAAAACTAGCCACACCCGATTATTTGAATTTAATGAATATAAGAAGGGTTGGGTTATTTTTAAGTTCAAATTTAAATTTGAGTGAATTGTTCGTATCATAAGTCTATTTTGATTATTTGAATTTTTTATTTTGTAGAATACCCTTTATATATTATTCATGATTTTTTTTTTGATTAATCTAACAATCGTAGTATTTTGTTTAATAACATTCGTTTTCAAAAAATTTGATATGTTTATTTTTAAAAAATAAACTACCTATTTTATTGGAAATAATTTTGGCTCGTGAAATGTTATGATTATCGAATTAATTTAATATTTTTCTAAGCACGGAAGGTTGTACAAAATCAACAACTCAATTTATTGAAAAGAAATTTGTGGTGGGCCATAGTCTTGAACAATTTTATCAAATTTATATTTGAATTTGAAAAAAGTCCAACTCTTTGTAGATACAAGAGATTGAATAAATTCATTAGACTTTCCTTAAATTAGTTGCGATGCCTAATTTTGAATCTTCTCGTTATAATGTATATATATATATATATATGTATACATTTCTTTTTTAACTGATTGTTAAAAAATAGCTATACTTTGTAGTATAATTTTAAGGGAAAATTAGTCTAAGGTCCCTCTAGCATATTTAGTAATGCAAGAGATCCACAATATTATTTTATTATGTGTAAGGTCCTTAACCTCCACACTCATATATACTACAGAGAAATTTCCAAATCAATCCCAGCACTCTCTTTCTCTCTCTCTCCCTGATCTCACCACCAGTGTAGTACAACAAGTTCAAGCATCTTCTGGTACAAAGAGCCTTGCTAGCCCCAAGCTCCAATGCAAAACCACACCATGAGGACTTCGAGGTTCGAACCCATCTTCTACGCGAGCTCCATTTTCGATCCTGAAGAACAGTCTTCATCTCTCCAGAGTAAGAATTCTATAATCTGAAAATGTGTTTGTATATGTGTGTATGTGTGTGAATAGAAATTGGACTGGATTTTTGGTTTGTTTTTTGCAGAATAGTTGTGGAGTGTGCTTGCAAAGCGTGAAGACAGGTCAATGAATGGCGATATACACAGTCGAATGCTCACATGGGTTTCACTTCCCTTGTATAGCGGTTCACGTTAGCAAGAACGATAATCTGGTTTGCCTAGTCTGCAGCGCTACCTGGAAGAAATCCAAAGAAATTTGAATTTTCTCTGATTTATAAATGAACCCAGAGAAATTTGAAAATTTAGAGAAAATTGATCAAAATAAACCTAGAGAAATTTGAAAACCCAGAGAAAATTGGTTAAAATGAACTTAGAAAAATTTGAATTTTCTCTAGGTTTGAGTGAATTTCTCTGGGGGTGGAGAAGGGAATTTCTCTGGTTTTTAGAGAATTTCTCTGGGTTGAAGTGAAAGTCCAGAGAAACCAAAATTTCTCTAGTGAGATTTTCTCTGTGAAGTTGAATTTTCTCTAGATCAATTTGAGGGACCTTAGACATTATTAAAATATTGAATGTTTTTTATGCTATAAAATTTTAATAACAGGGACCTTAAAAAAAAAATTGAATTTTTTTATTTTTTGTGTTTTTTTTTTAATTTTTAGTGAATTTTTTAAATATTCTAAGCAATTTTTTTTTAATTTTTAATACATTTAATATAAATAAAATTAAAAATTATAATATTTGTGAAAAAAAAACTTTAAAAAATTCACTAAATACCAAGAATTAAAAAAAAACAAAATATATGAAAATTCAATACATTTTCAAATTCTTGTGTATTTATTGATTTTTAAATTTTTTTTTTTACAAATATTTTATTTTTTAAATACATCTAAATAAGGTGCATTTAAAAAAGTAAAACAATTGCTTAAAATTTAAAAAATATTCACTAAAAAAAATACAAAAAATAAAAAACTTAATTTTCAGAAAATTGAATTCAAAAAATTGAAATCAAACACAGTGAATGATCTTCTTTGAGGTTTGATAAAATTACAAGTCTCACAATTTTGATATAATTATACTAACATTTCTTTTAATAAAGCTAAAGACATTGAAACTAATATAGATGATACGAAGACACAAGATAAATAAGGTAAAATATTCATTTTAATGTAAAAACAAAAAACAAAAAACAAAAAACAACAATTTTTTTATTTTTATTTTTTTCATTCATATGATTGAGGAATTAGGATGAAAAACTAAATGATAAGTGAATTAAATCTAAAGGGAGTTCAATGTAATTATGCTACATATATGGAGTTTACAATATTGGGAAATTCTATTTCCACACACTACTTCATTTCTTTTCACAACTTTTCTCAATATACACACTAAATAAATTTAAATTATCAACTTTCACTCAATACATATCTTACCATATCAAAAATACCCTTACCATCTTCATCCTCCAAACCCTAACCCTAACAAGCCACCACCACTATTGCCACCGTCGTTGTC